TCGCCCAGCGCCTGGGATGTCCCTGAAGGTCCAATCGGGTTTCGTTTTTGAAAGACAGAAAGAAGGGGAGGGAGGAAAGGAAAGGGAATCCCACGCACGGCAGCCTAGTTCTGCGTCCTGCTGTCGCCTGGCTTCGGCCACTAGCCCATTTACCGACCTGGCCCCTTCCGACCCTCTGACTGCCCACCACCCACTCTGCTTCAGCCAGATACTCCCTCTCTCCAGACTCGCAGGCTGTTGGCTCCCTCTCTTCCTTTTAGGGTTATCTGATTCGTATCTGTGCACCTTCTTTGTGCGGATTTTCCAGGGGTTTTCAGGTTGCCGTGATCCCTAATCAGTAGAATATACCGCCTGAAACGCTTTTTCCGTAAACCTAAACTTAAGGTACCGTGTTTCATTGCTGGTGTGTTTGCCTAGCTTTACTATTTAATTTTGAAATTGTTCCCTGAGTTTGGGTTTTTCTTCCCAATAAGATAGGAGATGATCTGAAGGCAGGAATGGGGTGGGGCAGGGTGTGTCTAAGAACCTAGGGCCTTGCACACTTGAGGCACGTGCTCGACCACCGAGCTACACCCAGGGCCTCAATTTTTCTTATGAAAAATTGATGTTCAGTAAACATTCCTTAACTTATATTGAACTTTGGACCTCAAGCCTCAACCGTCTGTTTCAAAACAGTAATTTCTCTAAGCTACATATTTCCTTAATGCATTAAAATCTTTTATGCAATAAATAAAAATTAACATCACAAAATTGTCTTTCAACTGTGTTAAAAAGGATATTTCTGGCACATACCAATGAAGTTTCAAAAATTGCTCTAAACGTTCCAAACTATGTGGTAACCTGTGAAAGAAAGGCCACCAGTTGTTTCTTTGGCCTGGGTGGCTGAAAGGCTAAAGGGAAATCTGCACTGCAGTCCTGAGATTCAGCTGCTGCTAAAGGAAGCAGCTTTCAATGGAAGAGTCTTTTGCACTGCAGCAGGATTCTGATTGGCTTCTGCATCTGGGTAGGAGGGGATTCAAATGAGTCTCCTACCAGAACCCTGACCCGTGACTGGCTGATTTGGAAATTGAATCATTTACTTCTTGAGTGTAAAACTCCAATACTTTCAGAACAGCAAGTACAGAAATTGAAGCAGCACTGTTCATAATGCTGCGAAACTTGACCGGCAGGAGCATCGGCAGCCCAGAATGTAACAAGAGCTGGGTCATTCTCCCTGATGCCAATACAATAATGAGGACATGTTTTTGAGAAAAAGAAAAAAGAAGTTTTAATGCTTTGCTAGAAAAGGAGAACTAGGAGGACTCTGACCCAGAGATGTGACTCTGCCCATCAGAGGGAATTGGGTTTTTAATGAGGTGATTCAAAGGCTACATTCCATGTGTTCTCTATCTGGGGTTAAATTCACTTCTAAATCTGGGAGATAGCCATTTCCTAGATATTCTGGTGTCATCCCCAGATCTGAATTACTTGTTCCTGTGGTGGGTGTGTGCTCAAGGACGAGGACTGATAACTCTGCCTAGGATGAGGAAGAAAGGTAATCCTGTTTCTCCTGAGATGGGGGAGGGGGGGTGGAAAAGAGCAAGAGAAAGAAATGAGTCCTTTAGAAAGTCTCGTAGCAGAGCAGCAAGGGCTCTATTCAAAGCATAAAGCGGACCACTGTAACAAGAACAGTCCTCAGTCGTGGTGAAAACAAATGCAGTTTGCTTCTTGTTTGAGTGGTCAAACCACTTCTGGGACTGAGTGCCATCTCATCTGAGATCACCACAGCCCATCTAAGTAAATGTGTCCAAGGGGCTGTACTTATGCATTACAACTAGAACTGGCCATCTGAAACTATTAGAAAGTAAGGAAAAACAGTTTTGTTCAGGGAATCCCCACTGAACTTGAGCTTCTAAAATGTCAAACACAGTGGCTGATTTGGAAATGGCTACTAAAACATAAACTAGACATATACTGAGTAGCTGATTATTTTGTAAAAATCATGCATTTTTTAAATTTTACAGG